CCATTTCTCACGCACAGGTCAAATTCTCTTTTCTGCAATGGTCTACGTTTCTTTAGTCCCTACATATTTATACAAATATAAGATTTATATCTAGTATCTAATACCTAAGAAACTAATGAAGTAGAGACATATTAACCTCGATAACAAGTATACCTAAAGAAGAAGTTTCAGAAGACTTCTTATCCTTCAAGTTGCGAGGTAAGCCTTTCAGTTCCTCTTCCAATAACCTTTCACTCTAAAGTGATAGCATGCGTTATCAGACTTGGTATTATCCTTATTCACCTTGATTGTTTTGTTATTGCTATTAGCTTTCTTGGATGTTTTCTTAAAACTTTCTTTAGTCTTCTTCTTATTGCCCTTGGAGGATCGAATGGCCTAGGCATGCCCAGTACTAGCTTTGACATTGGGCATATTCAACAACTCAGAAAGTGTGCATTTGATCTTATTCATGTTAAAGTTCATGATGAACTGTGAATAACTCTCTGGCAAACAATGTAAAACCAAGTCAATACTTCGTGGTGCATTATGAAACCTAATTGACCCAACTTCTAAATAAAGCCAATCATCTTAAGTACATGAGCACTGACTGAAGATACTTCTACCCTTTTGCACCGATACAATTGCTTGGAAGTCTCATATCTTTCCACACGTGATTGTTCATTATACAACTCCTTAAGATGAAGAATCATAATGTAAGCATCCATACCCTCAAGTTGCTTTTGCAACTCAGGTGATATAGTTGCAAGCATCAAACATGCTGCAATATTATCATCATCACTGTGTTTGTTTTAAGTAGCCACCTCTTTATTAATCGAGTTTTCATTAGGTACTCCTGGAAAGGGCTGCTCAAAGATATACCTAATCTTATCATGCTTGAGAACAATTATCAAATTGCGGTACCAATCGAGAAAATTTGGTCAGGTCAATTTGTTGGCATCCAGTATGCCTCGCAAATTTATATTACTCATGATTCAAAAACTGTAAATGATGAAAAGTAAGTAATTAATATGTATTATAATGCATTGCACTAATTTAATATAGATATAATTAAATGTGCTCCCACTGTTTAAAATAAATTTATGACCCTCGTACATAAATTATTAGAATCCACATTTGATTTACAGTAGGTTGAGACCCATTTGTTATATCAAGACCTTGAGTGTAATCAACGAATATTAATAAAATATTTGGGTAGATACTTATCAATTGTATCGCCATACAATTCCTAGATCATTAAGCTGACAACTCTTTGTCTTTACACATCTTATATGTTAGCTTAGTATAACTCTAAAATGTATGTTCTTGAGTGTACTCAACAAAAGATAAATGTTAGTTAAGTCAAATTCATCATTCAGAAATATCAAATATTTCACACACACACACACACACACACACACACACATATATATATATATACACATAATCAAATTTTAATTAAAAACCAAATTAGAGTCCAACTCTAATTTCAAAATATATCAGGGTGGATAATGTTAATTAAAATCAAATTTTAATTAATACTATATTAGAGTTCAACTCTAATTAAAGTTGAATTAGTATTTTAATTTAGGATAAAACTCCTAAATAAAATAAAATCCAATTTAGGGCAAAATTTTAATATTTAAGTTAAAATCACATTTCAATGAAACTATTGAAAATTGTCAATTTCAAATAAAATTTTAAACGCGTCAAAATTAAAATTTTGGAGTCAAATCTTTTAAAATCTAATTTAAAACCCTTTTCAATTTAAAATTCAAAACCATTTCAAAGATTGCAACCTGGCCCTCCTTTTTAAAATTATAATCCAGGCCTTCCAATTCTGCAAATTACAAAATAAACCCCTTCTTTAAAATTACATCATGACCTCAAATAAAATTGCATGCAAGGGCCTACAATTTCACAAATTGTATCAAAGGTCCCCGTTTCCACCTCCTCTCAAAACCCTAACCTTAATTTTTTTTTATTCTTATCGTCGACGTTGCACAAACCTCCCGCGGTAGGGGTTGTTGCGCCCAGGTGGCCCCTATCACTACAGTAGCAACAGCAAATGCCGCTGCTGATTGCAACGGTGTCTGTCGGCTGCTATGAACAGCGGTGGTGCGCGCTACCGCCCATTCCTATCCATTTTTTTTCCCTTTTTTTTTTTGTTTTCAAAACTACAATTTGAAGATAAAATTAATTTTATAATTACTAGATTCAAGAACTATATGAATGATCAACTTTTGATTAAATCAATATGTAAAACTATTTGTAACAACCTCAAAGTAGGTTCTGATACCACTGTTGGAAATTTACTTAATCAAGCCAACAGAAAAAAAAAATTCAACTCTCACTAAGGATCTGCTTTGTGTTTAGATAAAAATTATGCCTTTGTTGAATTCTACAAACTCCTCACTTTTTTTTGTTCCAACAATCTTGATCTGCAACCAACAGCTGTCTAATTGTCTAACCTCCAATGAAAATACACACATGGAATAAGATTGAGAGAGAATAAGATTTTACCTTTCTTGTGCTAGCCAGAATAATAAAAACCTCTACAGTTTTCAAACCTTAGTGGCTTATTTATATAAGCTCAAACGGGTTTTGCCCGTCTCTTAATTCGGTCTAATTTTTAATTATTACTTTTAGTTAAATTTGGTCTATAAATTAATTAATTTAATTAATTCGGATCGATTAATAAACAATCCAATTAATTAATTTATCCAATACTTATTAATTAATTAATTGGTAGATCTCATTCTTCTAGTTCTCCTTTTGTGTGTAACCCATTAGATTCTCAATCACAATGCCTAGCAATGTGAATTATTATTTTGGTCTAATCAAAATCGATAAATTAAAACACTCTTTTTAATATATCACCAATTCACATTTGTCGTCCCAAATTAACATCTAGCAATGTATCAAGTAATACATGTTATGAGAAATGTCACGTGGTATGACAAAAAACTTTCTCATTTACCGTGAACTATCTCTTCGTCAATATGATCCAATCAATTGTGAGATATGGATGTATCAATCTCAATTATCGATCATATCTTTCATTCCACTATTAAGTTAATACAAGTCAAAAACTCATTTTAGACTTATGAGTACACCTTGGCCAATAATTTTTTTATCAACTTAACTGAATAATATATAGATCATAATCTCTTACTATCTAAGAGTGACGCATTCTCTGTTGATCATTCATAAACTTCATATGATTATTGACATATCCAATAAAACATATTAGCGCCTCTTGACAGAGCAACATCCAACATCACCAAAGTATGACTGTCCTCACATAAGATATGATAACATCAAGTTAAATGACCAATTCCACTATCGAAGGTTAAAGATTAACCATTGACACTCAAATAGTTATTCATGTAGAATCTCCCAGTGGGTGTCCAATGTTTTGCTCTATAATAAAATATCCACGTGTTCATTTAAATGTCACCACACTTTAACTTGTAAAATCAATTACTTACTTCTCAAGTAAGAAATGCCACACGTGATGGTCTATCCGTAGTAACGATATTCATAACTTGTCATTACTTACGACAATGAATGATTTAAGATTCAATCATACATACTTTGTATATTACAATCACAACTCCTTGTGATTAAAAAATTACTGAAACTTAAATCTATAGATTCTATTATTTAGTATCATTTATTAGAATAGTTATTCAAATAATTAATAAATCTCGCCAAAATAAATGAATTAAGCATATTAAAAGCATTTACATCTAAATCGATTGGACCTAGGGCATAATGCTTACAACACTGCCATATCATTTATTACAACATTACCATATCATTTATGTGAAAGATTTGATATGGTTTCGTACAAAATTATTTAAGGATGGGTAAGAGGAAAAAGATATAATTTTCAATTGGATTGTTGTAAATTAAAGTATAAAAGATTTTAATTACTTCCAATATAAATTTGGGGGTCAAAATATTACATATGAATTTGTGGTGCGCATAGATATTAACGAAAGATAGGAAACAATATGTGGGTTGGTGATTATTTATGACATTTTAGTTCTAGTTATTTTAGTAATTATAAAATATGGTAGTACAAAAAAAAAATAGAAATAAAAATAAAAATTGTGATGACAATATAACCACACTTTAAAATAATTAAATAAACAAATAAAAGATACATTCACAATCGATCCACAAAAATATAATTTACTTTTAACATAAATTTACTAAAAAGTAATTGTTAACGACTTGCTGCTTAGTTGGGTCTTGCAAAAACTCTAAAACCAAATCGAATTGATCAGGACCCAATTCGAACCAAATCGAGTGATTCTTCTTAAATTAAATACTTGTACGGATATCTAAATTGAAAATCGACGAGTTTGCTTCGATTTGTGCTCTAAACCCAGAACCGAAGAATCGAGTAAGAACCGAATCTCCCTAATTTTTTTAATTATTTATCTTAAATAAATCATATTATTTTCTAAATAAATTTATTAACTTATTAATTTAGCCCAAACTCAAAATATAATTTTTCCTATTTTTGATTTCCAGCCTAAGCCAACCTAATCAAATTGACATAAGCTTTACCTAATTATTCCACCATAATGCCCTTTTTACAATTCGAGATAAATTGAATTGAAAGCTCAACTATGCCTCCCTCCACTATTGAAAGCTCGCTATCTTCCACTTGTGATTTTAACAATCGAATTTATGGAAAATTCAACAAAAAGAGGTACAAAAAATACATAAGATTGAACTACGTTATTTTGTAAAAATTAAGATTAAATATATCATTAGTTAAAGTAATACAATGTTGTCGTAAATAATAAAAATAATAATTAATATATGGAACTCAGGAACTGAATGAAATCAAAACAAACCTAACCAAATAGAACCGAACCTGAATGGCTCCATAATTAAATTTGGACCAAACGATTCCACTTACGAAATACCCGAAAATTCAGCTCCGGTGGCACCCAAGGTAGTGAATAAATCTTATTAGCTGAAAAGCATATTTAAAAGAATGAATAAGAGCAGTAAACATATTTCTAGAGTTATGTTGACTTCAGTTCGACCATGCTTCTTAAATCGCCCAAAAACATTTGGAGGAAAGGTGTGTACATGAAGTTAAGCTTCAAATCAAAACATATTTATCCAACTTGCTTAAATTGACAGCATTTCCAGTGTGTGAGCTGCCAAAATCCAATGTATCTTACATAAAAGTAGACCCCATTATTGTTTGATGCTCCGACTCTCCACAAATTTGAATAAAAGAATATGAACATATTGTGATAGAAACATTTCTTTATAGTAGAGACATTTCTTTATAGACCATTTTGCTAAGAATCTCCTTGGGAGGATCATTCGCCTGCATCATTAACTGAAGATGCGTATCTTAGCAGTCATAGATGCACCGGTTACTCCAACTCTACTGAAAATCTCTGCCCAAGCATCCATCAATTGTATGGTTTGAGATGAAAAATTTGGCAGCTTGGGCTGTATGATCCTTTTTCTGCAGCTTGCTCAAACTTTTTGACTGCAGCTTCGTTCTCCTCTAAGCTCATCTGAAGAAAAAATCGGATCCACCAAGTCGAGCTCCTCAACTTAGCCTATTAAAATAGAAAAGAAAAAAGACGAGGTTTATTTACGTAACATGTCCACAGAATTCAGGAGTGGGTACTCTATAAACAAAAAATGGCAATAGAACATGATGATAGGTAATGTGCATATCGTTATATATTAGCAGTAATGAGATGACCTACACTCAACATATCATTCCAATATTGTAACCAGTTAGGTTTATCCAATATTGTAACCAGTTAGGTTTATGATGAAACCTAGAAACCCATCATTAATCCAATTGGAGTACCTCTATAGAATGGATATCAACAGAAAACAGAAGATTAATGCAGGAAGTGGATTGAGTTACGTAGTTCCCGAAATAAAATTAGACCATAGAGATATAGTAATATGTAGAAGACAAAATTGTTTCAAGATCAAGGTGCATGTGGGCCGATAGTTTAAGAAAAAATCATGCATTGATACATTTAATATGTTTCTAGACTGGATCAACCAAAATAATTTACAGTTTCGTATGAGGCTTGTTTCCTAAATGCTGGTTCTTCAAGAATAATTAGAGTTTACTGAATGAACGTCACAATCAACATACAAAACAGAGTTGAGATACTATTTCCTGTTTTCCTTTTCTGATTTTACACAGATTTTATTCTTAGCTACATGAAATCAAAGTGATGATTTTTGTTAACATAAAAGATGAAGGGAGAATAGTAAAAAGTAAATATGCAATAAGATAAGGCACTTACCGACCGGCCAAATTTGGATTTATCCAAAACTTTGGATCTGCGATGATGCGGAATACCTACAAGTTTACAATGGAAGAAAATCAAAGATGCCACTAATAAATGAGCAAGCGATAAAAAACTCTCAACAGCTTGTTTTTTATATAAAGTGTTACAGACAACACTAATCTTCAAGTAATTCAGTGCAACTGGACAGAATTTTTATTTTTATTATTATTATTATTTTTTTTTAGAGGTAATCAAATATTTTATTAATTAATACATAATACACGGGAAGTGTATTATCAATTTAAAGCAGAAAGGAATAACATAAAATTGGGCAGCCCATCTATATGCCTAGTAGCTGCAGCATTAAACCACGTATACAATGTGAATTAAACATTTCTCTAATTTGCTTTGCTGTCCGTGTTTGATCATCAAAGCAGCTGCTGTTTCTTTCTCTCCACATGCACCATACAATGCAACTCGGAATAAGGTCTCATGCAAGCTTGCAATCCTAGTCACGAAATTTTTTTCCTCCATGCCTTTAACACGTTTTCCATACGCTTCGGCATCACCCAATCCATGTGTTGTGATGCCAAAATATTGTGTCACAGTAAACGAGCAGCATCACAATGGAGAAACAAGTGATCAATCGTCTCCCCATCCCTCCGACACATATAACACCACTCTGTAACATAAAAATCTCTTGTTCGTAGATTATCCATCGTTAACACCTATCCCTTGACCACCATCCAAAGTAAGAATGCTATCCGTGGAGGCAGTTTACATTTCCACACCAACTGGACAGAAATTTTAAAAAACTGCTTGCTTAAGGGAAGAGATAGAGATCTGGTTGAGGCAGACGAGAAAGAGACAAGATAATTTGCAGAAGTATAATGAAAGAAAGGATTGGAGCGACTACTAGAAACTATTCCAAAGAAGGGTGAAACAAGAAGCCATAAAGAACTAAAATGAACAGATGACTGAGAAACTCCCTCGAGCTAGATGCCACTTCATCCAAACACTACACCTCAATCTTCACGATGATGTTTATGAGAAGGCCAAAAAGGATGAGCTAATCATGATTTGATGGCTTACTTAAATGTTTCATGCAATGGGACTACAAGGCCAAGGATAAAACCAACTTTACTGCGTTTAAGAAAATTTGAACTTACTTCTAACCTTAAGTGAAGCACTAGATATCAAGTAAAAATTAAGATCCACACGCTGCTACTACCATGACAGGATGTATTTACTGCCTCCTTTTGAATGGAAAGTTGATGATAACATTTACTACTTTTAGTAACATTCAACCATTTCCAGCAAGAAAAGAAACATTGAGGAATTGCATAACAATGCTAAAGTAGAAACGAGCAAGATCACTCTCGCAATCACATTTTTGGTTGCTGTGCAACGCCTAGTAGACTTTGCCTTGCCCGCAACGTGTCAAACCTATTACCAGATGGCTGTCAAGCTCAACAAAGTTGAATGAAAAGCCTCAAACTGAATCATTTAGAAACAAAATCGAGAAATATATCTCGAAACTAATTCTTAAACCTGATGAAGAAATGGGAGAGCTTTGTGCATTCCTTTTATCAACAGAAAGCTAGGTCACTGAACCTAATGTGTGAGAGAGAAAGAGTGCTATCGTTCAGCTGAACAAAGAGTTTTATCTGCCTGGAAGATGTTGAAGGAAACAACAATGTTGAAGAGAGTGAATGGTGGAGAACGGTATGAAGTCTTTGAAGTCAAAAAGAAATAATGTCACTTTGTTAAGTTGAACATAGAGAATTTCAAAATTCTGGGTTATATTTAAGATATGCTGCAATGAGTTTGAAACGAACCAAGAGAAGGTGCATTTCTGTGCTTGTAATTTGTGAAAAAAGTCCAAGACATTTGTCCCTAAAGACAAGAAAGTCCATGACTACGCATATTAAATCATCTAGAAAATATCCAGTTCGTACTGTTTAAAGAAATTTTTTCGCTTTTCACTACTCTTTTGAACCAATATCCAACATTAGCAACTACAATTTTTATGGATATTGTACCATTTCCAGTGCCAAAATTTGTGCTGACGAAGATTGTGTTTGAACAGGATAAGTCATCAAACAAGGTGGCAATGGTGGCACATACTCCAGTTTCTTCACATACAATCTTCAAATTGAGTGGCCTCCAACAAAGAGGCACATGAAAAATTGTTATATGATTTTGTTAAAAGGAAGGAATTTAAAGCTTAATGACAGAGGAATGAGATGCCATGTTGGGAAAGAAGAAGAAAAAGTTTTGGGTTTATATGTGACATTATTTCATTGAAGAATGTGTGGTTGATAAAACGAGAGAAAAATGAATTATAATGGGAACCAAACGGGAGCTTTGCATAATATTTAGGATAAATAAGATAGCAGAGGATGAGATGCCAGGCAGGATGAGGAACTTGCAAGCTTTGCATAGTATAAAGTAGAATCTTCACTCTCTAAAATTGAATGAGGTTGGTAGTCAATGCATTAAACCAGATTCCCAAAATGAGGGAGCCAACCTTATTGACTTAAAGGACCTTCGAGTTCTACTAGGCTATTAGTTTTGGGGTTCATCAAAGCCATTTGATCAGTTGTGGTGGGAAAACATTGTTCTGGCTATTGCTACAGCATGGACATAATCAGACTGAATCCTGTTCAAAAAGAGTTCTTGTTACAGGAGAATGTCTGACTTCAGGCTTTCCTTCTTCACCCAATAAGCGAATAACAAAATCAATTCTGAAGTGTAGTTTCTGCAAAAACTACTCGAGCACTTGGTTATTCATTAGCTTTGGCATTAGAAAGATTATCACATGATGAACTCTTGTTTACTCTACTTAATTCCATAAACTTGCAGAGTTTCCTCTCCGTAAACGTATTGAATGATTCAACCATTTCATGCTAAATCAACATATGAAGGTTTACGTGCGTTTCTGTGCACGTGTTTCAAAGAAAGTTGAGATTAAAAAACTCAAAAGTCCTCCTTTTCTGTATTTTAGTTTGCTGCAATAGATAGAACTTGAAAAATAGAAAAATTTACTGATATCAGTACTCAGGACAAAAAAATGCATAATGAAAGCCAAGTTGCAATAAATAACATATGCTGTCTTTTGTTTGCAAATATCCCCTGATAAGTTATTCTTTTTCCATTTTTTTGTTCTCTTTTTATTCCTGATACATAAACCAACCAAAATTAAGGCATAAAGGTCCACATGCACAAGTAAGAAATAACAAACTTAAAGATAACAAGTACTGTTCTAGTTTTCATTATAGGATGCTTGGAGTTGGACCAGCCAAAGCATGCAACGTGTAAGATTGTGTTAGAGGACCAAGACCAAAGGTGGCCGAGGGCCTGATAGTCCATTGTGCAAGTCTCCGAACCCAATATGTAGAGAATTTTGTTAAGTTGGAGAGCCTAATTATTTGTCACTTCACAAAGCTAGTCGCGAATCTAAGGGCTGTTTAGGAATTTGTACTCTTGTAAAATTCTATTAGGGGATTGAAGTTCTTATATAGCCCCCGTTTGGCCCCATTCTTTCCAAATTTTAATGGTTGTAATAGTGTTTCTTGAAAAATGTGTGGTTGAAAAAGAATAAAAAGTTTTTTATTTACGTATAATATTATTTTATGAAAGATTGTGTGATTAAAAATAAGATAGAGAAAAAAAAAGAAAGAAAATGGGAGCCAAAAAAGGGCATAATTTGGTTTTGAGCTATTTTACCTTATAAAAAGGCAGCCATCCTTAGGCTTTATTATTATCATCAAAAAGTGAGAAAGGGGCTAGAAAAGATAGTTCAGATTTTCTCTTGTAAACATTTTTTCATGATGGTGAATTACTGCGATGGCCGAAAAAAACGTAATTTCACATTGAGACAAACTTCTATAAATATTGCGTGTTCTTGAGTGGTTATTTTTCTTTCTTCAAATTGATTGCTCCCGGTGGAATAGAATTAAGGTTTATAATTCTCAACCAAATTTTTCACCTCCATAAAAGGTAAAACCTAAGAGTAAATTTATCACATACTTCTAAAAAAATACCAAGTTTGATTAAGACTTTATCGATGCTCCTAGAACAACAATACTGCTCAGTAGTACTTGGATTTTGTGCAAACATAAGCATAAGTAACTATCCAGACTACAATGTTAGAAATAATCCCAGAGCTCTGTTTTGCAACTTGATATAGTAGTAGAGGTTAAGCACAACTTAGATCCTTAACTTGTATGATGCTCACACATGGGTTCAATTATTTTTTGCAAATCATCATGTTCCATTGAACTAGTGAATGCATATAGAGTACTATCTAAAACAGAAACCATGCAAGGGATGTTATCAGTTTGGTTTCTTTATGCATAATTAATTAACCAATGAATAGCCCCTAATGATTAGTTTGAGCGAAAAAGGGATGCATTTTGAATTGATAACATTTTTGATGTGGTCCTTTTCAATCTTTAACAACAGTTCTTCAGATGCTTGCTCTTTTTTACATATATAAGAATTCTCAAGATTTGACAGACTTGCTTCACAGATGAGCACAAATTCTAAAATCATTTTCCACCTAAAATTTATTTTAGGGTCGAGGGTCCAAAAATTCAATCACGTCCAAGGAAAATTAAAAATATATGATTAAATAATATATACACACACATACATACAAGTATAAAAAAAATTAAGAAAATTAAATTTTAACGTCACTTAGCCTATGTTTGGCTTATGTTTATATGTTGTGTAAAAACAATGAACCCATTTTTTATCCACATATTTCAAGGAATTTACAAGTACTACCCACTTATCCGCCACTCATTTTTATCTATTTATAATTTAAATCGTTTATGAACAATTCTCAAACATGCTTTTATTTCAATAACAATTAAAAAATTATATTATGTTGAAAATTTTCACTCACTCAATTGTTGTATCACATTACTTTCAATAGTAGTGAAAACGTTCCCCTAATATAACCCATCCATGCATGTACCTTTTGTCTTTCTACATTCCATCTTCTCTCACAAAAAATCCATACACGCATGTGACTTTCTCTCTCTATCATTCATTTCTAAATTAAAATCCCACAACCCAACGTCTCAACCTGGCTAAAATATCACAGATGTCTGTGATCCCCAAATTCTTCCTCTTCTTCACATTTAATCACCTCAATTTCATTTTAATTACTGTAAGTATGAAAATATCATCTTGTAGGATGAATAAAATTGTATCTTTGAGATATTTGGTGTGTTGAACTCCTTCAAGAATTTCTTTTTGAGATTTTTATTTTATTTTTATTTTTTTTAACATGGAACCGCACAAACCAGGTCTGGTTCACCAGGTTTCCAGTTAAACTAGCTAGCAACAGTTTCTCAACTGGTTTTCCTATCTCCGGCTATGCCATGCAACTAGACCAGTTTTCAGTCAGGTTCCTGGTTTTCCAGTTGAACCAGACTAGCAGGTTTCCAGAATATTGGTTAAACAGAGGAAAAAGAGAAGATAATTGATAAATGATGTTAAAGGATTCTCCTTTAGCAAATTGAGCACAAGTTTAGAAGGCTCTGCATCATCTACGTGGACTAGCTCCAGCAATTCTAATGCAAACTTTTTGCTTTTTCATTTTTTTTTTTGGATGTTAAAATTGGGGTGGGGTAGTGAGGGCGCTAGCGGACCTCAAGGGTAGCATGATAAAAAAAGCCAACCCAAAAATTTCAAATACAAAATAATACTGCAAAATGACTACAGACTACCACATCAATGTCTATTAAACACAGTGTTTTCTTTTTTGTAACGACAAAATCTACACATACATTTTGTTCATTTTGAAAGAGTTTATATCCATCTTACCCCTTATGAATTTCTATCACGTCTCATAAGACGCAAACCCAAGACCTCTACTTTATGTGAGACTTCAATCGCATCCTAAAACCAATATCAACTCGCCCTGGACATTAAATTGGAAAAGACAAAGGGTCGAGGGTCCAAAAATTCAATCACGTCCAAGGAAAATTAAAAATATATGATTAAATAATATATACACACACATACATACAAGTATAAAAAAAATTAAGAAAATTAAATTTTAACGTCACTTAGCCTATGTTTGGCTTATGTTTATATGTTGTGTAAAAACAATGAACCCATTTTTTATCCACATATTTCAAGGAATTTACAAGTACTACCCACTTATCCGCCACTCATTTTTATCTATTTATAATTTAAATCGTTTATGAACAATTCTCAAACATGCTTTTATTTCAATAACAATTAAAAAATTATATTATGTTGAAAATTTTCACTCACTCAATTGTTGTATCACATTACTTTCAATAGTAGTGAAAACGTTCCCCTAATATAACCCATCCATGCATGTACCTTTTGTCTTTCTACATTCCATCTTCTCTCACAAAAAATCCATACACGCATGTGACTTTCTCTCTCTATCATTCATTTCTAAATTAAAATCCCACAACCCAACGTCTCAACCTGGCTAAAATATCACAGATGTCTGTGATCCCCAAATTCTTCCTCTTCTTCACATTTAATCACCTCAATTTCATTTTAATTACTGTAAGTATGAAAATATCATCTTGTAGGATGAATAAAATTGTATCTTTGAGATATTTGGTGTGTTGAACTCCTTCAAGAATTTCTTTTTGAGATTTTTATTTTATTTTTATTTTTTTTAACATGGAACCGCACAAACCAGGTCTGGTTCACCAGGTTTCCAGTTAAACTAGCTAGCAACAGTTTCTCAACTGGTTTTCCTATCTCCGGCTATGCCATGCAACTAGACCAGTTTTCAGTCAGGTTCCTGGTTTTCCAGTTGAACCAGACTAGCAGGTTTCCAGAATATTGGTTAAACAGAGGAAAAAGAGAAGATAATTGATAAATGATGTTAAAGGATTCTCCTTTAGCAAATTGAGCACAAGTTTAGAAGGCTCTGCATCATCTACGTGGACTAGCTCCAGCAATTCTAATGCAAACTTTTTGCTTTTTCATTTTTTTTTTTGGATGTTAAAATTGGGGTGGGGTAGTGAGGGCGCTAGCGGACCTCAAGGGTAGCATGATAAAAAAAGCCAACCCAAAAATTTCAAATACAAAATAATACTGCAAAATGACTACAGACTACCACATCAATGTTCAATGTTAGTCTCTCGTCAACTAAATTAGTCTATACTATTTTATGCAATCAATGTAAACCAAGTCATAAGCCTAAAGATAACAGAAGCCAACAAAACATATTCATGGAAGACAATGGAAAATAACAATCAACTATGATGATTAAAACCAAAAACAATAAAGTGCTTATTTACTGAGTGCATTATTTCCTACTGCCAAAATCTGCCCTTCCAAAATCACACCGATTTGCAATTGGCTGTCTAAGAACTTCTTCAACATATTTAATGAGAGTAACTAACAAGAAGCCAAAAGGAAGTAAAAGCAATTCAACCAGCATGACCACAAACCTGTCTCAGAACTAAGAGCAGTGATCATATTTGATGAAGGCAATTTCAGTTATATAAAGTTCTATTCGCCTGTGCCAATTATTTGTGGATATGAAAGAACCAAGATGACGGATATCTTCGTGATGATTCCAAACTTATCAGAATTTTGGTCAAATGACAGCTACTTTAGGGTATGCTATGGATCCACAAGCAACAAAATTGTCATAATCAATTACTCCAAGTGATCTAAAGAATGTGCTGATACAACAACTAATTTCAAGTTATAATTATCTTCTTGTGATAAGGCCACTCAATATAAAAAGCATAGTATATACATCGAAAGAAATCAAGCATAATTACCTTCAACCTGACGGACAGCTCCCTTGTTTAGGGCATAATTACCTATAAGACAAATATATCACGCTAGTCAGAGCAAAAGTAAATATCAAATTTATCGCTTGAGAATAAAAAATATATTCTTTTACTAAAAAATTATGTAACCAGAAAGGTGGATGTGATTCTGCATCCAAGTGAATCGACTAGGATCTTTTATTTATTAAATCTAGTAGAACAAGGAGATTTCTTTAAAAGCCCCTTTCGATGTCAAAGTCCGGATATCAAATGTCTAGTGTGCCCTCGTTTAAGAAGTTCTTTTTCTTCTATTCATATTTTCCTAACCTTCCTGTCTCTACCCCATCCCACCCCAGCCACCCCACTCTTACCACTGCCTCGGTTGTTCTCTTCCACAGCCCCTCTCTTCTTCACCCTCTTCCCTTCCACCCACTCCCCTTCCCAGACTGAACTCTTTTCAATAAGTATTATGCACGATATCTAGCAACTAAAAGTGAAGTTCTCTTTGCATTAGTCAAATTTAGATCCCAACGTGGTCTGTGCTTTCTGCTGCTCATCTTGTACATTTTCATATCAGTAGGTGAGGACTTTTAAGGCCTTAACCATACATACTTAGTTCAATGTGAAATAAGAAAGGGATTCTGATTTACAATTGGATATGAAGATAATGTTCTGATTGGGTTCCAGTGGCATTCATATGGGATATGATAAGCTTTTACCTGCTTTTTTGATTTCCCATCTTTTCATTGATTAATACAATGAAATCATTCACTTTAATTTTAAAAATTAAGTTTCTTTTTAGTAATGTTTAGCTGTCTTCAATTACTTATTTTACTCTAGTAGATTAATATTCCATCAGCAGTACGGCAAATGAATAAAAATCATTTCTTCTCCAAATCATTAATGAAGATCAACATATTGTCGATTTTTAGCAGTATTTGAAATAGTTCTAGTTCTTTTCTAAATAGTTAAAATTTGTATTCAACCTTAGATTGAAAGGCCATTGACCAGAACTAATGTCACGCTATTTATTTTCGTAGTTTCTTTGTTAAGGTTATAAAGCTTATACATTAATTATAATCAAGTGGGGAAGAATTACTGGAAATGCATATAATTATGGAAGCAACCCAGAGAGAAATGAATTCGAATGCAACTAGATTTGCATTAGATATTACTTGCTCTGCCTTAATCAATTGAAAGTAGTGAAAACTATACTTCTAATCCTTTAGGGTATAACAATAACAGTTAATACAGACAAAAGGAATCATTCTACTCAAAGTTTCACCATTGAACAAATTAATAATATAATTCTTGTGTCAAAAGTAGAAATGAAGTCTAACCTTGGCCTCCATATAAATAGACTAAAAGTAGGAATGCTCCCTGAAAAGTTTCGAATAAAGTATATGATCAGAACTTGTTCATTCCTCTTAAGCCAAATAAGTTTCACATAAACTCAATCAAGATTTTTAAATAAAAGGGTAATGCCACTGTGTCTATTAAAATATCATCGTTGCTGTTGAAGCAATATTCTATTATATCCATGTTTCTAAGATCTTAAGCTTTTTAGACCATTTTTCAGGCAACAGGCCTGGGTTCAAACATCGTAGCCACCCACTCAGAGGCAGAGGGAGAGGGAGAGGGGGGCTGGGCTGGGTTGTAGCCCAGCCCAGTCCCACCCCAAAAGCAAGTTAACTTGTAAATATTGGAAAGCTCAGCCCAAATTATTGGTAAAATTAAGAAGAATAAAAATTTAGCCCAGTCCAAAGTTTAATCTTAACCCAATTAACTTCATTCCCAACCCAAGCCCAATGTTCAATTATTCAAATTTAGCTTCAAATTTAAATAGTTCAATAACGATCAAATTAATTTATTATATTAGAAATAATTTTTATTGATTAAAGTAAAGATAAATAACTTATTGTAGCATGTCACATGTTTGACTAAACTTAAAAGTGATTAATTTTTTCTAACGTATTTTTTCAAAAATTGCTTATTTATACTTGTAAGTTAAAAATTTATTTATTTCGACCACGAAACGGTTGTTATTATCAAAATAAGTAATATACTCTATATTTATTTTTATCAATTAAAAATATATTTGTTAGAACTTTGTCATAAATGTTTGGAAATATATCTTGATCCATTTTGTCATTAGTGGCAAGAGTTTAACATTTTAAACTAAATCTCGAATGGCAAAGAACATCTATGAAATTTTCAGCCCACCCTAATTTATCTTCGTGGCTCCGCCCTTGCACCCACTTAAATAAATTGTGCATGTGTTAGGCTTTGGCTTAAAAAATGAATCTTGCATACCTCTAAAGGGTGTGAAGAAGATAATGTTTAAATCAGCTCAAGCTTTTAGATTAACTGCTTCCACAATATCAAATCTGTAAAAAACAAGAAACGTACCAGAATGATGAGACCTAATGATAAATAAGGGGGAGAGCGGGATCTCGAATAAACGGAAGATGAAAATGGAGCTGTCCCACTCTCTGATATTCTTCGAGACGGATTTATTGGCCTCCTTGACATTGCCAATATTCCAACACTGCTAATAGCTAATTACTGGGTATAATAATAAAAAATTATTACTAATTTACACACTCAATAATCATTTGAATGAAACATAAAGAACCCAAAGTTCAGTGTTGATGATTGATCTATAATAGTACCTGAGAAGAGTGATGCTTTGCAGGCTACGTGAAACCTCGTAGTACCTTGTTACTCTTGGGGTGAATCTACGTATGAATAACTGAATATGGATCTATATATATCTTCAACAAATGTTTAATTAGAGATATGGATGGAGAAACTGTGTCTTTCCATCCGAATTTTGAGGATTTTAGGACTCAAATTGGTGTGTGGTGAAAGAGCAATATGGTAAATTGGCGCGTTGAGTCCGCTGTTGTACAACGAGTTGGCTCTCAGTAGGGTCACAAAGGGAAGGGCCGTCCCATAAGAGCCCGGACAGGCCCCTATATTCACCCGGCCCGGGTCCAGATGAGCCTGCCATCAACCTCAGGTGATGCGTTTAATTACCAATCAATAAAAATATGTCTTTCTCCAAAATTTCTACTTTTGTGCTATTTGATTGATATTTTTTTATAGAAAATATTTTTCTACTTTTGATCAATGATCATATTTTCTTCAAAATCAAGAAAAATATTTTCTTTAAAAGAGTAAAATTTTATTTTCCACAGAATTCATTCTCCCTTTCCCTCTCTTATTTATCTCCTATCTCTCATCTACCAACCAATAAAAAAAACAAATATAATATTTTTTAGATTGAAAACTAAATTAATCAAACACATTTAATTAATAATATTCATAAAAATAAGCTTTAGACAATTCAATTGTTTAAAATTTATTTTCTTTTCATACAAATTTCATGTTCTTAATCAAGCGCAACCTATATGGGAAAAAGAATTTGAACTAATTGAACCAAACCAAAATCGATCGGTTTGGTTCGATTTTATTTGATTCAATTCTAATTAAATTTTAGCCCTTGTTTGAGCCCCATGTTTGGATAAAGAATGCATTTCAAATAGTTGATTGATGGAGAATATATGTTTAAAAATTGAGAAAAAATTTTAGTTTGCGTATAAATATTATTTTATTGATATGTGTGATTAAAAATGAATTCTGAAAAATGAATTTTTAGAAGAATAAAGCTCAAACAGCGGCTTAAATGGATCTTGCTCCCCGAATAAGATCATCTTGTTTTGGTTTGACTCCGATTTCAGTACCCCAAGACCATGAATTGAAAATTGATTCTGATGTGACTGACCCTTTAAAATAATTTTTTTTATTTTTTTTATTTTGTCAATGATTTCTGCTCGACAAAATAGTTTTACTTACTGTTTGCATTAAATTAGTTTAATTAATGTAAATTTAACATTTAGTGTGTTGTTCTTTGGATCCTAGAAACCTATTTTTTGTACTGTAACTGTCACTAATAATTTGAAATGTAGGGCTATAGAATTGAACCAAACTAGAATAATTTGGTGCGATTCTGTAGTTATTGATGGAATCAATAATATTATTATAAGATAATCATTTTGTTGTCAGTTTAATTCTTTTCAAATTCAAATCGAACCAAGCCATATGATACGAACCCGCGTAATGCGATCACTATCAAGCCTACAACAAATTGAGAATCAAATCCAGGAAAGTCAAAGACAAGATTTTGGATTAAACCCAATAAACTGGAACCAAGCAACCCGAATCGCCGATAATATGCGGACATCTTGATTACGCAATTTAAATGAATCTCACCCGGTTGATTTGAACGCCACAAGATTAATCTTGATAAGTTTACAAGTTGTTCAACGAAGAACGAGAGAAAGCAATTAATGTCTCACGAATAATATTCAATAATATGAGAGTTGTAATGTTTTACAATAAGGAAAAAGGTATTTATACTATTTTAGAGAACCGGAGTAAATTAGGAAAAATATCTAAGAATAATGCAAAATTCGTCCACAATAGCCTAATTATGGTAAAAATCTACTAATAATGAAATTCTATTAAAATAATGAAAAAACGCGAAATTTGAAAAAATTCGCCTCAGACTTGGCCTATGCGGCCGCATAGCTTTAGAGCATGCGGTCGCATAATACAATTGGTCTGTGACTTTGAAACTTCTGCTGGGTGTACGTGACTGCAGGACTTTAGACCTGTGTGGCCGCATGGTTTAATACTCCAGCTCCGTTTTCTTCAGCTTTAAACACGTTGATCTAATACTCTTCGGCCTTCGTCCCCAGCACGAAACTTGCTCCATTTTGCATTCCGAACATTGTTTCATCAACCGTTGCTTTGATAAGCAATCTCATCGCCTCTTTCACGCGCTTGGCCCTCGATCGCGTCATCGACCCCTCGATTATCAACGGATCTTTCCTCGGGCTCGACTCTAGACTTGACTTTGGTACTTGTGCTTCCTGGATCACATCATCTCCTCCCTCTTCAAAAGGATTCGACCTCGAATCTGCACCTGCATCGAAAAGAGATAAGTCAGAAACATTGAAAGTTGCAGAAACACTATACTCACCGAGAAGATCTATCTTATAAGCGTTGTCGTTGATCTTCTCAATCACTTGAAACTGTCCATCTCCTCGTGGCACTAACTTTGATCTTCTTTGCTCTGGGAATCGCTCTTTCCTGAAATGCACCCAAACCCAATCTCCCAGTTCGAAAGTGATATATTTCTGGCTTTTATTTGCTTGTGTTGTGCGTTGATTGTTCTTCCTCACTATTTGCTCTCTTACCTTTTCATGGAGTGTCTTCACCAATTCGGCTTTCTTTTTCCCATCCAAGTTGCCTCGTTCATTCACAGGCAAAGGTATTAAATCTAAAGGTGTTAAAGGATTAAAACCATAAACAATTTCAAATGGTGAAAACAACGTAGTAGTATGCGTGGCCCTATTATATGGAAACTCAATGAAAGGCAAACATTCTTTCCAATTCTTTAGATTTTGATTAACCACAGTGCGCAATAGTTATGTCATTGTTCTATTCACTACTTCAGTTTGACCATTATTTTTTTGTGGGTGACAAGTTATAGAAAACAATAATTTCGTGCCTAACTTATTCCACAAGACCCGCCAAAAGTGACTAAGAAACTTAACATCCCTATCGGACACAATACTTTTGGGAACACCATGCAAACGCACGATTTCTTTGAAAAATAAGTCTGCAATGTTAGTGGCATCATCGGTTTTGTGATATGGTATAAAGTGTGTCATTTTACTAAACATATCCATCACAACAAAAATTGAATCACGCCCCTTTTTAGTCCTAGGCAAACCTAACAAAAAATCCATTGAAATGTCAACCCAATGTTCGCTAGGTACCGGTAAAGGTGTATAAAGTCCTTGGGGTAAAACCTTTGATTTAGCCTTTTTACAAGTTATGCAACAATTACAAATTCGTTCTACATCAATCTTCATTTTAGGCCAATAAAAGTGTTCATTTAACATGTCTAAAGTCTTTACCATCCCAAAGTAACCCATTAAACCCCCACTATGTGCCTCCCTAACCAACAATTCACGCATTGAGCAATTAGGAACACATAATTTATTTTCTCGAAACAAATACCCCTCATACTTAAAGAATTAGTCAATAGCCCCCTTATTACATGAATTGTAGATGCTAGAAAAATCAAGATCGTTTTCATACATGTCCTTAACATACTCAACACCAAGTAATTTCGTACTTTAAGAAGTGAGAAGCACATATCTTCACGACAATACATTAGCTACTATGTTTTCCTTACCTTGTTTGTATCGAATGACATATGGAAAAGTCTCTATGAATTCCATCCAATATGTATGTCGTTTGTTCAACTTACCTTGACTCCGCAAATATTTTAATGATTCATGGTCGGTGTGAATAACAAACTCCTTCGGCCATAGGTAGTGTTGCCATGTCTCCAAGGCTCGAACTAGAGAATAGAGTTCCTTATCATAAGTAGGATAGTTAAGAGCTGCCCCACTTAGTTTCTCGCTAAAGTATGCTATTGGCCTCTTTTCCTGCATCAAAACTGCTCTAATACCTATTCCTGATGCATCACACTCAATCTCGAAAGTTTTGTCAAAATTAGGAAGTGCTAAAACAGGTGCTTTACATAAGCATTCTTTGATTTTGTTAAATACATGTTCTTGTTCTGAACCCCATTGAAACCCAACACTTTTTTTGACAAATTCAGTAAGTGGTGTGGCAAGTGTGCTAAAATCCCTAACAAATCGCCTATAAAAACTAGCTAATCCATGAAAACTCCTAACCTCGGTTATGTTTTTAGGTGTTGGCCAATCTTTAATAGCTTTTACCTTTTCCTCATCAATTTCAACCCCATTAGCACTCACCACAAATCCTAGAAATATGATTTTATTCATGCAAAATGTTCACTTCTTGAAATTAGCATAAAGTCATTCATTTTTTAAAACCACAAGCACACATTCAAGATGTTCTAAATGCTCTCCTAGTTCCTTGCTATAAATTAGAACGTCATCAAAATAAATCACAACAAATTTTCCAATGAAAGCACGCAAAATATGGTTCATTAATCGCATAAACGTGCTTGGTGCATTTGTGAGTCCAAAGGGCATAACTAGCCATTCATACAGCCCATATTTCATTTTAAATGCTGTTTTCCATTCATCACCCTCCCGCATACGAATTTGATTATACCCGCTCTTAAGGTCAATTTTAGAAAAGATGTAAGCACCATATAATTCATCTAACATGTCATCTAACTTAGGAATTGGGTGACGATATTTTACCGCAATGTTGTTGATAGCTCGGCAATCCACACACATCCTCCAAGTTCCATCTTTCTTTGGCACCAACAATACGGGTACGGCACATGGACTCATGCTCTCCCTTACATAACCCTTGCTCATCAACTCCTCCACTTGCCTTTGAAGCTCCTTTGTCTCCTCCGGATTAGTTCGATAAGCTAGTTGGTTTGGAATGACAACTCCAGGTGTGAAATCAATTTGATGTTCAATCTCCCTAATGGGTGGCAATCCCTAGGCACATCTTTCGAAAACACATCGTCAAATTCCTGCAATAAAGAAGTAGCCAAACTATGGAGGGATGTGTTAGACTCCTCAAAATTGAGGAGTGATTCCTTATATACCAAAAGAATCATTGTTTGTCTCTCCACTATCGCCTTTTTCAATTCACTCCCTTTTGCAAAGAAATTCACTTTTGACTTTTCTCTCCTCTCGGAAGACTCTCTTTCTTTTCTCTCATGTGGCCCCACTCTTTTTTCTTCCTCACCGGCCACCTCACTATTTTCTCTCTTTTTCTCTAACTCTCTCACTCTCTTTTCTTCCTCATTTTTCAATTTGATTTGGTCTTCATACACTTGTGTCGGTATTAATGGCGCAAAAGTGATAGACTTTCCCTCTTTCA